TTTACTTTATCATAAAAAATTTCTTTCGCTGATTTATCAGACATTTTAATGAAAGTGTAACTTTTCAAACGACTTTAGTAAGTTGTTTAGTCAATGACAGACTGATCTTCTCGCTACACTGACGAGAACTGTACTGATTTTTCATGAAGTTAAGTTAGTTATTATATACTCAAACTACTAAGTGTTCAGTGTAACTTTCTTCATAGAACTGAAAAACAATTTTAAGAAATTTAATATTGTTGAAATGATTCGCCGAGAAAAACCGAACCCATCTTTGGTATCCAATTATAGTTGTCAATAATTGAATTGTTTCCTAAAAACTGAAAAATGGATTGAAATTCATTTGTTTTATAAGTACAATATAAATCTCATTGTACGCAGGTAGAAAGCGGCAAATAATACAAGTCGAACATTAAGAACGCGTTGATAGCGTTCAACAATTGACAAAACGCGTTTCGGCTGTTTAACAGTTACCAGAACGCGTTGCGAGCGTTTAAAAACAGCCAAAACGCGTTCTGTGCGTTCGAAGACAGCCAGAACGCGAAGTGGCCGTTTTTTCCGGCCACTGAGCGTTTTCGGTCTTCGGGCCTAACATATATTAAAATATAATGTACGGTCACCATTTAAATACATACAGTCAGTATTTCTATGTAAATGCCTAACTAAGTAACCAACAAATCGACCAACCTCTAACGTTTAGAATTTTTAACTGACCAAAAATTATCGTTTCATTTGTTTCCAAAATATTAAGAAAACGTAACAAATATGTATAAACATTAATACATCAGATAAGATTAAACTATCAGTTAGGTACTAATAAAAATAAAAGGAAACTGAATGTACAACGGCACTTTGGCAATCAATTTCTGAGATAAATATACAAAGTGTTCAGAAAATCTTAGCTAGATGTGTTTTCATTCGTGTACCATTATAAAGTGAAAATTAAACCGGTAAACATCATTGGAAAATTTTTATTAATGTAATATTCTTGTACTTTGAATTATTTGAATATCTGCGCCGGACGTGCAAACAAAAGATCGTTAATGTAAACATGTAGGACATTCTCAAATTACGTTTACCCTATATACTAGATATCTATCTTTAGATACTACCTATACGTACAGGGTGGATATCGTGAAAGAACTCACGAGAGCATTTCAATATATGTATTGTTTATTTTTAAGATATTCTAATTACATTCAAAAACTAACGGAAGTTCGAATTTCTAATACTCCTATGCAAAATTCCATTATTTTCTTGAAATATCACGAAGTCAAGTCAATTTTCTTAAATATTGTAAAATAAGCCCGCAAAGATTTGAAAGTTTAGCAATTTCATAAAAACAAAACTCTGAGGCTTACAACTGTCATTACTAAAAATTGTCGGCCATTTTTATTATTTCATTGTTGCTGCTGGCGGCCATTATGCATTTTCAATTATTGACGTTATATCGGCCATCATGCCTTTTTAACCGTTGCTAAAAGCAACCAAGAAATAACAATATATAGAATGCCTAAGTTTTCAAAATACAACCTCTAGCTATGATCAAAATGCCCGCGAGTATATTTCAATTTGTATTGATATTATAAATAACAGACGTCTCCGTGTGAGAATGCTTATTGATTTCATTTCATAAAAACAGACCCTATATTACAGATGGTTTATTATAATCCTCTATAAAATCTGCATGAAATATCAAAACCACATTTTTGTGCACTGACGGACATGAATAGAATTTACCAGAAATGTTAAAAAATTCTGCAAATATTGGAATTCTTATCAACTTCGTAAAATAAAGAGCCTGAGACTTACGTCTGTCATCACTGTAAATGGTCGGCCATTTTTATTGTTTCATTGTTGCGGTATTGTTGCTGATGGCGGCCATTACACACTTTCAATTATTGAAGTTGTCGGCCATTATGCTTTTTTAGCCGTTGCTAAAGGCAACCAATTGATTTTTTCCTTATGTTTTTATGACACACACATGCTTCGATTTAACTATCGTATATACACACCACTATGTAAATTATTGTAAAAATACACTTCAACCTTCAGGAAATGTCAAGAGAGGCCAATGATAACCAAAAACATTCGAACTTTTCCCGATTTTACATAAATTGACTTTGGTTTCCGAGGCTGTAGCTCGCTTAATACATATTTGAATACCAATCTAAATTACACTGAATCCAACGAAAAGATCATCAATACGAGACTTGTATTGACAAAATTTGAAAATATAATTCCTAGCTGTAACCAAAAAGCTTGTAAACATTTGAAATTAATATTGAGACTTCATCTTTTTTTATTTTTATTTTATTTGATAGTAAGTAGATAATAGATAATCAGAGAATCTATTACATTATTTAAGTACACAAGAATTATTCCGCAAAACATTGTCTTATCATTATTTACAGGATTTTTAAAATTCTTGGGCTACCTTTAATTTAACTAACTGGTGAAGTTTATTAATAAGTCAAACGAAATGTTATACAGAATTTAAAAAAAAAATTGTCGGGAAAAATGAGCTACCCTGGTATACATATATTATGTATTGCAGTAACATTGACAATCATTTATTTTTGTTTTATTACAGTAGTATAACTTTATCCTATACTTTATATTTTTTTCTAAATAGTAATTTCAGTGATTAAATAATGAAAATAACAATTATCAAGGATTTGAATAATGATTTACATTTACAGGATTCTAAAATGACGACTTCGTAACACAGGTGATAATATAAGCGAACGTCAAAATTAAATTTAATTAAAACAACAAAAACACGACATTTCACTTTTAAAAGTATTTTGTACTTGGCATTTTCCTTTGTTAATGTCCATTTGTTTACGTAAACATACTGATAAGGATTATATGCACGTATTTGCAGGTGTCAACTGAATTTTCTTTAATAAAACTATTTGTTTATAACAACAGTTCGAAACCTTACTCAAGTTTATCAGATACACGTCACTACATAAACACTTCTGAATTTTTTGCACAATTTTCCACAAAAATTTCCATAATTTGGAGTACATACGATATATGTTTGTACGTTTTCCTACATAGTTAAGGGTTAAAAGTTATATACTTTTTAAAAAACAACCACC